AAAAAAAAAAAAAAATTGTTTTAATCCTGAGGCTGAAGTGAAAAGCGATGGAAGATAATTCCATACAGTATGTAATGTGTTTTTAAAGTCATTTGTCTCTTCTACAGAGAGGAGTCGGTGTAACACTCTGCCTTGGTCTCTTAGAAACAAACAAAGACTTGTCGTCATGGAGTCGATTCCAACTCATAGCGACCCCCTATGACAGAGTGGAACTGCCCCCGTAGGGTTTCCAAGGCTGTAAATCTTTACAGAAGCAGACTGCCACATCTCTCTCCCACAGATCGGTTGGTGGGTTCAAACCACCGACCTTTCAGCAGCCGAGCGCTTTAACCACTGCGCAACCAGGGCTCCGGTTCTCTAAGAAAAACCAATACCTAAATATTGCAGTAGGAATCCCTGGGTGATGCAAACAGTTAAATGTCTGATTATGTCTGTTGGCGGTTAGAATCCACCCAGAGGTGCCTTCGAAAACAGGCATGCGTGGTGATCTGCTTCCAAAAGGTCACTGCCTTGAAAGCCCTATGGAGCAGTTCTACACTCCACACATTGAGTTACCAAGTCAGAATAGACTCGACGGCAACTAACAACAGCAAATTGCAGTAAGCAGCTTCTCAGCATGCACACAGACATGCATATCACCTTGTATCTCCAGTGCCTGGCAGACGTTTGCTCGACTAAGGGAATGACGACTCACAGATAAATGCAATGAAAAATGGCTGCAAAGTGGCAGACCCAGCTGTTTGAAGAAGATCACATCTAATTAGCAGTTTCCAAAAGGAAGCAATGCAAATCCAGTGCTTTGTCAGTTGCCCAATTCCAGGATTTGGTTTGCACTGGATTTGTGATTGTAGGGTTTTATATTTAAACTCTAAAGCGATGCAGCCATCAAAGTTATCTATGTCCATACATTTATCTTGGCAATAAATTGTGATTCTTGTCTTTGAGATACTAGTTTCCTGGGAGTCCACTTTTAGTTGAATCATATTTCCTTTAGTATGTTTTACTTAGTTGTCTAGTAATTGGTGACTGTTTTAATAAGTTATTGCTGCAAAACAGTTTTCATATCTATGTGATTTAAAAAAATCTACTAAAATAAATAAGAAAATTATCAAACTAGAGCAGATTGGAGTATTTCAATGAATATCACTCTGCTTACTTCATATCTATGCCTTACGTATTAAAAATGTGTTAACTTCTCCATCCTTATTTCAGATTAGGAGATGATTCTGACAGGGATTGAAGTATTTATTTTCATAGTTTTCATAAAGAAAGAGTTGGATGAGGAAATTAATAATATAAGTAGGATTAACTACATTGTGTGCCTAAATATTATAATTTAGCAAGTTTCCCTGATAGGGTATGATTACTTATAGACAGACTGTATTTTAAAAATTATATCTATTAATTACAGTTGCCTTAAGAATTTACAGGCAAACTTTTTTTCTAGTTATTGCCTCTATATCTTTATGAATACATCTGTATCTTTTAATATCCTTTAAATAAAATTTTCATTAATACAGATTTTCCTTCAGTTACTGTGAATTAGTGTGAGCACTTATAAGTCAGCTTTCAAATTTTATCTTTTTAGTAAAAAGAGATACCTGCAAACTCGTACATTTTTGTATGCTACACTGGGAAATTTACTTTTGTTGCATATTACAGTATTCCCTGATGGATTTATTATCTAAAATGGTGGTGGGCCAACCTCATTTTGTTCGATGCATCAAACCAAATAATGACCGTCAGGCAAGAAAATACGACAAAGAGAAAGTTCTGCTCCAGCTTCGCTATACAGGAATTCTGGAAACAGCAAGAATTCGAAGGCTAGGATATTCACATCGTATACTTTTTGCTAACTTTATAAAGCGGTATGTGTGTTTATTTTTAATTTTAATTTCAGTTTATATAAAATTTTCAGAAGAATATAGGAAATAAAGTAGGAAAGAGAATTATTTAGGTTAATGAGGGAGGCATTTTATTCATGCAAATTATTGTGTATTTAAGAGATAAGTTAACTGTCATCTGGGGCTGGAAGTTTCTGTTGTCAGTTTGACAATTCCATGTGTTAGCATCAGCAGTCTGATCCAGGGGCCCAAGCTTCTGTACCGAGGTGTTGGATGATCTAGGTTCTCATCCCACCTCTGCCACTTGCTATGTGTCCATGAAGCTAGACCAGTGATTCTCAACTGGGAGAGATTTTGCCTCTCAATGACATACTTGGTTTTCACAACTGCGACTAGGGAATGCTACTGGTATCTAGAGGACAGAGGCCAGGGTTGCTTCTAAACATCTTTACAGTGTACAAGACAACTCCCACAACAAAGCATAATCCAGTTCAATATGTTGGTAGCGCCGAGGTTGAGAAACCCTGGCCTATACAGAACTACATTTTCCTCATGTGGTTTTCCTCATTTATTTTCAATAAATCTGCCATGACTACCTAATAGGATTGTTACAAGGATCAAATGAGATACACCCTCTAAAGGGTGTTTGAAAAGACATAGAGAATCAATTAGATGTAAGGTGTTCTTTCTAATAGTTGAAATTAATGTAAAATGAATTAATACATTTTATTAAGTAAAACACTAGTGGTGATATAGATATTCAATACCTTATATATTTAATATTTTAAATGCCCATGCTTCTGATATTTATCATTTCTAGGATTTCTGTTAGTCATTAAACATAAAGAAGTGTCCATTTTCAAAGGTAAAGTCTATTATAACTTTCAGGTGAAGCCTAGTGTTTAGGAAGTCTCCATATGTAAAATTCTCAGGCCTTTTGCAGAGGGTCTAAAGTAGTACTGCATTAGGGATAAATAGTATGCATATAATGTTAATGAAAATACCCTTAAATTTCAGTGACTTTTTTTTTTTAATATGCAAAGCACTGTTGTAAGCACTAAGAGAGACAGAATTTTAAAACTGGCTTGATTTTCAAAAATTGACAACCCAGTGAGGATTATAAAAACCATACTATGGAAAGATAAAAAGCAACACAATAATAAATGTGAAAGCCCAGATGAGTGGTACACACAGTGTAAGAGTTCAGGGAAGGGAGAGATTATGTCCAGGAGGGTTGATAAGAGAGTTTATCAAAAGAGGAGGCTCAGACTGAGATCTGGTGGGAACGGTTTGTGGGGAAGCTTTCTCAATGTGTGTGTGGGGGCCTTTCTCAATGTGCAGATTGGTGTGTCAAAAGCTAGAGGCAAGCATCTATTGTACATATTCAAAGGACTTGGAGTAGATTGGATTGGCAGAGTGGGTGTCAGTGAAGTGACAAAAGATAAGATGGAAAAAAACGGGTGAAAATTTTGAAGAGAGAGCTGTCAATGCTATGTTAAACTTATGTTTTCAGAAGTATCCATGGTTTTACAATATGGATGATAAGGAGAGTTAAACCTGTTGTCTAGATGATATTGTAGTTGATAGTAGCTTATTTGGAAGGTCAGAAATGAGAATAAATTTTAAAATGCATTTCAAAACCTTGTGCTATTTTAGAGAATCCCTGGGTTAGCATTCAGCTGCTAACCGAAATTTTGGCAGTTCCAATCCACCCAGAGATGCCTCAGAAGACAGGCCTGGCGATCACAGCCATTGACAATCCTATGGAGTGTAGTTCCACTCTGAAACACATGGGGTCACCATGAGTCAGAGTCAACTCAACGGCAGCTGGTTTGGTTTGGTTTTTGTGCTATTGTAGAATAACAAATTACTACCTGATACATGAAGAGGAGGGAGAAAAATTAAGTATACAGAGAAATGCAAATAGGTATTCTGAATACAGGAAGTTCCTGAAATAAAAGGCTAAATCTTTTCTTTGTTACTAATATGAAAGCTGTCATCTAAATTGGCATAGAATCTTAGGAAGGCAGAATGATTTGCAGAGGCCCTGTGGGGATGTTAATAGGACTAAATAACCTTCCTATGTCTTGCTTTAGCCTTTCACTAGCCCTCCTAGTAGAATGCATAGCTCATCAGACCCTTTGTCTATTCTGTGATAAACAATACTGTTTTGTGACAAAGAAACAATCTTAAGGGAAGATACACAATCTCAACTTACTTTGCACGAGAGGCTGGGTTATTACTGTAGTTACTTCAAATGAACCCTTATACTAAGAAGCCACCGAAGTTGGCTCCATTTTTCCACCAGACACCTATACACAATGGTTGGGTTCCCAGAGCTCTGACATACCCAGAACATATTGAAGGCAGTACTGTAGTGTAGTGGAGTAGGTCAGTACACATGCTTGAAATCAGAACACCCAGGTTTTAATCCCACCTGTGCCACTTACTGAATGTATGGCCTTATTCAAAGTTACTTACGTTCTTTAAGCTTCAAGCTGCAATTTCCTCATCTGTAAATAAACCAAAACCAAACCAAGCCCATTGCCATTGAGTCAATTCCAACTCATAGCCACCCTATAGGATAGAATAGAACTGCCCCATAGGGTTTCCAAGTAGGAACAGGTGGATTCCAACTGCTGACCGTTTGGTTATCAGCCAAACTCTAGATGATGATAATAGTATCTACCCTATATATGGTATGAGAATTAAATGAAATAATATATGTAACAATTGTTGATAGGCCAAATGTCATCAATTCATATTAGTTATAATTATTTGGGTATAAGTAAACACTTTCACATAATTTTAAGATCAGCTTCCAATGTTTTTGTGAAGGTGAAAAAAGGAATAAAAGCTTCCTGCCACTTTTGCTTTCAGTGCCCAGAGAAAGGTTTTTTGTTTGTTTGTTTTTAAGAACCCAGCTAAGATGTGTTCCATTTGTTTTTGTTTGTTTGTTGGAAGGTGTTTTGTTTTTGTTTTTGGAGTGAGGGAGTTTTTGTCAGTGACTTCAGTGTAAAGAGTTGAAAAGCAATTACTAAAGTGAAAAACAGTACTCAAATTTACACAAACTGTCCAGATTTGCATCAATCTGGAATTTAGTCTATTCCAGAGTCAGTCTGAGAATGCCTTCAGGATACCTCAGGAGTCCTTCCCTCTCCCGTGCACAAAGCTGCCCAGTGCCCACCAGGCTCTGAGATGCTGAGCCTTTGAACAACACTAATCAGCCCTTTTTCCCATTTTAAGGTACTATATTCTCTGCTACAAGTGGAACGAAGAGCCTCCAGTGAGCCCGGACACCTGTGCTACCATTTTGGAAAAAGTTGGTCTTGAACATTGGGCTCTTGGAAAAACAAAAGTAATGTTTTCATGTAATTTTCAGAAAGAAATTTTAGTAGTTATGTTGAATTTACTGAGAACTGTAATATTTTACAATGAATATTTTACCGAATCTCTAGCTAAAAATAGGGGACATGAATTTTTAAATTCATAAAGGTTTTCCTCTTCGTCAAAATTGAAAACCTTTACTCTCCCTAAAGGTTTCTTTTAAGAAATTCAAGAATATTTTATCTTGAAGATTCATTTTAAAAAGGATGAAACTTCGTTTCAAATAATGTTGATTATATACCACCAAATAAGGTAAAAAAAAAAAAAAAAAAAAACCTCATAGCAACCATAGTGATCTAAGTGAATTCCTGTCTTTCTTTGTCTCTTAATTCTTAAATCTGCTTCAGTGGTAAATTTTAAATTTATTTGAGGAAAATATTCACCATTATTATTTGACTCAATATCTGTGATATTTGGATATTGGTGTGTTTCTGTGTTAGATTTAAGATCCTGTGAGATCTTAGTTCGTTTAATCCCTTAGAGAATGAAGTAAAAAATGATCACCAATGTTGAATATGGAAGTAAGATGGGTGGGTGCTTAGAGAAAAGTGCGTTGGGTTTCTCAGATATCCTTATAGCACTACAAGATGGGCATAAGGAGATAATCAGGGTACCAGCTCTTAGGGGTACATTAAATGCATCACTTGGGGGAAGGTGAGAAAAAAAGCCAAGCTAAAGCAAAGAAGTACTCAGAGAGTGACCACTCAGGAATCACTACTCTCAGCCACACCCCAGAAGTGGATGAAAACGAACTTTCACATTTGCAAAGAAATACATATATAGACATCATTTGTATCTTGAGGGTAGGAGGTGTGGGAGAGAATTATCAGAATGTTCAGATGAGGAGTTAGTCTTCTAACAATTTAAGGAATTTTAAAAAATGACTATGAATTTTTAAAAGTGACTATCTTATAGACTGAATGTCCTACATGTTCAGTAATCCATATTTACTTTAATGTTCAATAGGAAGAAACTCTGTACATAAAAAGGTGTGTATTTTATTCATGCCATGTTTTTTTAGATGCTCACAAAGATGAATTTCGTCAAGTTGAAATCTTATGATTTATGGTCTGAAACACATGCCTAACTTCAAATGGAATTTTAACTTGTAAAAAGGTCCTTTGCCATTCCTGCTCTGCATGGTACTTAAGTAGCATTTTAAAGTTATTTGTATTTTTCCACTTCACCTTTTCCAACTCATTAAGATGGATAAACGTATTTAGTATTGAAACATTTCTAACGCTGTGTAGAAAGAAAGATGACCTTTTTAAATAGATTGAATTTTAAATGAATTGTCAACAACAGAAGGGACTAACTATATTAACATTGAGAGCCCTGTAGAAATTAAAACTAAATTCAGTCAAAACCTATAATGCTAAACTGTTTGCTGGTAGTGCCAAGCTTTCAAGTACTGCAATGCTAAGAGAATTCTGCTGTCAGGGTTACCAGGTCTTATGACTTAGCAGTAACATTTGAATTTAAGTGACATTCTCAGTGAATTTAGTAAACTCTCTTTGAGGTGACTTGTACTAGTAAATTTAGCCTTTAAAGAGGGAAGAGAAAAAAAAAAACCTTCCTATTTCTTTGCTGGGGGGTTGAAAGCTCTGTGATCAACACAACTCCAGGCCTTCAGGTTCCTCTCTTGCTCTGATTCATTTTGATTTTAGAGTTATCCAAAGGCAGCCCTCCTTAACCATGGCATTCATTGAGTCTAGTGAGAAAGTTGTTAATTAATTCTGGCTGAGGCCTCATCTCTGCTTTGTTCTCTCCACAGACAACGTAATGAGCCCCCTTGAGACAGTGCCCCTGGCTTATTCGCCTTTGTATTCCCTGCAGATAGGGACTTATAATAAAAACCAGGATGCCCTTTATCACCACTCTTATTCAACATTGTGCTGGAGGTCCTAGCCAGAGCAATTAGGCTAGAAAAAGAAATAAAGGGCATCCAAATTGGTA